ATATTAGATGTCAAAACAAATTTCGTATCGGCCCAAAGCCCAACAATAATTTATTTTAATCAAAACAAATTTGATTAATTGATTATTTATTCATTAATAGTTCTAGGGTATGTTTTGGGCATTACATTACTTCCCGCCCTTGATAGTTCATACAAGGCAACAAAGTGGAGGACTTATTGATGGGTTTATTTTATAGAATGAGTAGTTAAAATAAGCAAACAAAGTGAGTTGAATTTGACCACGTGATTAGTGTCTGAGAAAATCTATGTCGGATGAAGAAGTAGTAGTAGTAGTAGTAATAATAATAATAAAGTAATAATAATAATAATAATAATTCCTCCATCTCTAAATGATTCAAATTTTTTACTATTCAAAAAATGCGGAAACTTTAGTTTATTTGTGTGTTTTCATTTTGTTGTTTGATGAAATAAAATATTATTATTGGCTCGTTGTTTGTAAAACTTTTGATATATTTTTTAAATATGTAAATTTTTTTTATATATATTTTCATCTTTAAATAAAATAAATTAAATAAATTTTAAATTTTATTTTGTTTTGAATAAAAAATACTCCCTCCGTCCCCAATTTGATTACAATTTTTTTTCTCTCTCCTCTTGATAACTTTTGTTTGTTTACGCGATTTCATCAAATATTTGATAAAATAAAATATTATTGTCACCTCTTCTTTTGTAGAACTTTTAACGTAGTTTTTTAATATATAATTTTTATTTATTAATGATATACCAATTTATAAATAAAATGATTTAAAAAAGTGAAATAATTTTCCTCATAAATACCAATTTGTAATTAAATTGGGGATGGAAAGAGTAAATAATTTGGACCATGCTAGGGTGCCACCACATGGGTGCTACCATGGGCGCACCCATGCTTCGCACAGACAAACACAGACAATAATTGTCTGTGTCGCACAGACAATTATCGTCTGTGTTTGTCTGTGCGAAGCATGAGTGCACCCATGGTAGCACCCATGTGGTGGCACTCTAGCATTTTCCAAATAATTTAGGTACCCATGAAGTCTTAAAATTAGAGGGTGTCAAAGTGTCAAACTGTCAACGGCGAACAATAATAGAACTGCTTTCACTTCATTTCAAAATGGACCATGCTACACACCCTCAACCCTTGCTACCAACCTTGCCTCCACCCACTTCTCTACCACATATTTATCTCTGCCTATTCTCTACCCACCCTTTAATTTTAATTTTCTTACCTCCCTACCACATGTTTATGTAGGGGGGCATGGGTGGTAGCAAGGGTGAGGGGTTTTTAGCATTTCTTTCAAAATAGTACAACTCCTCTCCTAGGGCCTAGGGTACACTACTTTGTAACCCATTTTGCACGACACCAAATCACCAATCATCATTCATCAAAGTCCATTTTTTTTGTGTACAAATTGTGATGCATTAAGTTATTTGTAATTTTGTATATCAAGATTTGTATCTTATTTTATACACCAAAGACATACATCAATATTTAATGCTAGTTTGTGTGATGATTTATATTGACAAAAAATATCAGTGTAAAATCTTTTAATTGTTCTAATATTTTCTGGCCGTGTGAACCGTTTAAATGTCAATACATTTTTTGGGGTATATTTTGGAGTACATTTTTGGTGTACCCCTAGCATAATTGAACTGCAATACCCAAGCAAATATTCTTTGAAAAATGCTAGGGGTACACCAAATGTGTACCCCATTTGTACCCACCCCCTCTATTACCACAAAAATGGGCAAGTATTTTAAAAAAATTAAATAAATAAAAAGTAGATAAAAATGAGTTGTGGAGAAAGGTGTACTCCTAGCATTGCTCATATTCTTTACATTCAAACCAATTGTTCCAACTGGAGTTGACTGTTTTTTTAGAACGATTCTATCCATAAACAATGTACACCAAAGCGTCTATCAATATTTTAATACTCCGTAGTTTGTATGGACTTAAAATGTTAGTAAAATAAAAAAATTTGTATTACCTGTATAAATCATTACACTAACATAATACTAACATAAAATGATATACCTTTGATTTACAACTTGGAATACATACTCCGTATTTTTTGGGATATTTTTTTAACACAACTAACTGGAGTTGGTTGACTTCTGAATAAAAACTTTTCTGATTCACGAACAAGGAGCATTTGACGATGAGATTTGGCTTCCTCGTGACGCTTATTACTCTCCTGAAAAGCTTATCCGTCGCCGCAGCCGACGATGCCCGTTTCGCGTACAACGGTTTCCGGCCCCCAAATCAAATCATTCTCGACGGAATCGCCGGATTGACTCCCGACGGGCTCCTGCAGCTCACCAACCTAACCAGGCAACAACAAGGCCACGCTTTCTACCCTCGCCCTCTACACTTCAAGAACTCAACAAACGGTTCGGCTTTTTCCTTCTCCACCACCTTTGTCTTCGCAATTCACCCTCAATATGAGTCTCTCAGAGGCCAGAGCCAGGGAATCGCTTTCGTGATTGCGCCTACCAGAGGCCTCCCCGGAGCTCTTCCCAACCAGTATCTCGGGCTCTTCAATGAGTCAAACAATGGGAACCGCTCTAATCGTGTGGTTGCAGTCGAGTTTGATACCACCAGAACTGTGGATTTCGGTGATATCAATGACAATCATGTGGGGATTAATATCAATGGGTTGAGGTCTGATGCGTCTGCTCCGGCTGGATACTACGAGGATGGTGGTAAAACTAATTTTATGAATTTAACTCTGATCAGTGGGCAGCGTATGCAAGTTTGGATCGAATATTTTGGTCTGGAGAAGAAGACTGATGTTACTTTAGCTCCGTTTAATGCTCCTAAACCAAAGACTCCTCTCGTGTCATTGTCTCGTGATCTCTCTGCGATTCTTGATGCAGAAATGTAAATCGGGTTCTCATCCGCGACTGGTACTGTTCTAACGTCTAATTATATTTTGGGGTGGAGTTTTAAGGTGAGTGGTCATGCTCAAGAGCTTGTACTGTCTCAACTTCCCACACTTCCACGGTTCGGTCCAAAACAAATATCACATCTTTTGACAGTTGGGTTGCCTGTGATTGTTTTTAGCTTGGGTTTGCTAGCAGTTTTGGGTGCAATTTTTTACATAAGAAGGAAGAGAATGTTTGCTGAAGTATTTGAAGATTGGGAGGTTGAGTATGGGCCTCACAAATTCAAGTACAAGGATCTATACATTGCGACGAAAGGATTCAAAGACAAGGAGCTGCTGGGTTCCGGGGGATTTGGGAGGGTTTATAGAGGAGTTCTACCCGCCACGAAAATAGAGATTGCTGTCAAAGCGGTGACACATGATTCAAGCCAAGGGATGAAAGAGTTTGTTGCAGAGATTGCGAGTATGGGTCGTCTCCAGCATCGGAACATAGTTCACCTCTTGGGGTATTGCAGGCGTAAGGGCGAGCTGCTTTTGGTTTATGACTACATGCCTAATGGAAGTCTGGACAAGTACTTGTATAACAGGCCAAATGTGACCCTTGATTGGGGGAAAAGGTTCAAAGTTATCAAAGGCGTTGCCTTGGGATTGTTTTATCTACACGAACAATGGGAGCAGGTGGTGATTCACAGAGACGTCAAGGCTAGCAATGTTTTGTTAGATGGCGAATTTAATGGAAGATTGGGAGATTTCGGCCTTGCAAGGTTGTACGAACGTGGCACAGACCCAAAAACAACCCATGTCGTGGGAACATTCGGTTATCTGGCCCCAGAGTATGCAAGAACCGGAAAGGCCACACCACGCACTGACGTGTTTGCTTTTGGGGCATTTTGTCTTGAAGTTGCCACGGGGAGGAGGCCGATTGAGTCCCACTCCCAAACAGAGGTTACAATTCTTGTTCAATGGGTCCATTCTTGCTGGGAAACGGGTAGTGTCCTCGATGCAAAGGACCCGAATCTGGGATCAGATTATGCAGCGGAGGAAGTTGAATTGGTCTTAAAACTCGGGTTGATTTGCTCCCACTCGAACCCTGAAGCAAGGCCGACAATGCGCCAATGTGTTCAGTATTTACAAGGTGAAATTCCCTTTCATGGAATCCCTTCACTTGATCTCTCTTCTGGTGGATTGGCATATGGTCGTGGAGATGGCTTCACTGATTTTACCGCCTCATATTCATCTTCTGTTGCAGAGTCCATACTCTCAGGAGCTCGATGATTCTCCCCACAAAAAGATCAGTGTATATCTCGAGTATAGGCATGTTATCTTCTCATCTTAATCGTCTCGTTTCTTAAATAGAGAGCATTGGATAACAGTTCTAAATCAAATGTGATTTTTGTATTTATATTTGGAATACTTTGTATTATGTACTTCGATCCAAAAAAACATTTTTCTTTTGATTTTTTTTTTCAACCACTGACACTCTTTTGACCACAAATTATGAGAAAAAAATATTTAATTATGATATAAATTCAATATCATTAGGTTTATCTTAGAATATAGTTTTGATATATCAAATTTTTATATTATTTATTTATTTAGAGATATATATAATTTTTGGTCAAAGATTATCATTGTTTGACAAAAAAAATCAAAACATGAAATATTTTTAGAATGAGAGGAAGTAACCAACAAAGAATGAGTATGCTTTTACTGCCATTTCCTTATCTAGTTATCTCCTCCCGCCCGGAATATCAACCGCTATGGATTAATTTATTTGTATTCCAAGATTTGTACTCCAATTTGTACACTGCAGGTTTACATCTTCATTTTGTGTTAGTGTAATGCTATGATGATAGTTCATAAAGACACGAAATGTTAGTGCAAAATTTTTGTTAACGCATCATCATTTTGTGTCAGTGTAAATCATCAAAATATTAGTGTATACCTTTAGTGTAATTTTGGAGTACACTTTTTGGTGTAAGTGTAGCATGGTTATTATATTTCATGGCAAATTTTATACGGGACCTAAGATCTACCATGGATCTACATATGAGCAAAATAGGTATTTGTTTACTGGCAAATTCTATGGTAGACTTAAGGTCCATCATTGACCTACATATGAATAAAATAAGCATTCTTTACTACTTAAATAAGTATTTTTTTAAATAAAAAAAGATTTTTAATGTGAGAATGTCCACAAGAATGATATGCGTCTAAGGGCATTTACAACCATGGGGATTCAGCCGCGCCACACCGAATTCGAGGCCTATTTGCGGCCCACACATCGCTGCAAGCCCTTCGCCGTGCCGCACGCCGCGCTCCTCACCCTAACCGCGACGCAAAGCCGCGCTCAATTTGAGGCTGAAATTTGTGGTGGCTGCCCACAACGGACGGTCTGCAACGCCTAGAATTTTTTTTTAGTTTTTTTCTTTATACCCTATAAATTCAACACATCTTTCACTTCAATTTATCCAATATCATCTCTCTAAATTAACCTATTTTCTTAATTTCTCTTCACTTCTCCCAAATAATAAAATGGCTCTTACCTAATTTAAGAAATTCATCTTTTTTTATTATTTTTGTTTTTGATTTTAATTATGTTTTGGTGTATTTCATCTTTTATATCGATGTTGTTTTAATAAAGAATGTCAATCTTAGCATTTTTATTTTAATTATGTGTATTTTTTAAATTGTAATTAAAATTGATGAATAATGTAAAAAGAATGGAGAGGCGGGTTTTCAGGGGGATATCATTGTAGGATTTTGGGGCGGGACGGAAAAGTTAGTAGAATGCTGATGTGACAGGAGTTGTGGCAGGGCTGATTTAAATAAGCATTTGTTTTTTAAATAAAAAAAGTTAAAAAAATGATTTTTTTATGTGTGATGGGTGTATTCCACCCATAACCGGTCAAAGAATACGTTCAAATACCCAACCGGTCAAGGTCAATTTTCCAGAAGGGGAAACCTTGATTGTCAGTAAAAGGATGCTCGGTGGGCTCAAAGGTTGTCCGGCATACTTCGGATAGTATACCGATCAAAGTACTTTATTCGCCTCATTCATCCCCATTTTCAGTAAACCCATCCTTCGGGAATCACCCGGTATGGTTTCTAGATTTGGAAAGTGTCGGCAATGAAGAATCCAAATGAGCTTGGACTGTAGCGACCATGATCGACGGAGGATCATTGGAGATACGTGAATACTACAGTCCAGAATACTAGATGACAAAGGAGTCACCTTCCTCGCTAGGTGACAAGGTAGCTATAGGGCGCAAAGGCAATCACCTCCCACCACCTAGGAACGTGCCCTGACGCGGATGAGCGGCGCTTTGTCCCCTTTAGCTTAGTATAAATACTGTTGTAACCCTCAAATGGAGGGATCCGACTTCTTCTCTCTAAAACTCTCGTATAAAAGCTCCCGTGTATTCTCCTATATTCAATATATTAATTGGGCTACAGGTGTTCCACATATAGTCCTTCCGGTCATTTTGTGTGTTTTACCTTTTTCACTTTACAAATCTAGTAAACAATCATAGACCCGGTCTAGTACTGTTTACCTGGTTAGGTAATTTACACCATCATTTTTGGCGCCGATCGTGGGACCGTTAAGGTTTCTTTTCATCTGAACTTAAACCTACCCACAAAAACACCACTCTAAAAATATCTTCAAGCCAGCAGAATAACGCAACCTCTGCTCAGGTGCAAGCCACCACTGAGGGGGTCAATATCCCCATGGTTGTTACTCAACCGGCAAACTCTCCCTCTGTGATGTCGGTGGGATTAAGTCCCATCCCTACACCAAGCATGCATGGCAACGCCATTCACGGTTCCAGTCCCTTCTACGGGTCCAAGGATCACTTTCCCACAAAGCATGACCCAATTCCTGAATGACCCGGCCAACTTAGAGGCTATCCAGGGCTTTAGCCAGGTCATGGCCATGTGTCAACAGAATGGGGGATGCCTTTCCTCCCGGGCATGTTTCCATTTGCCCTTCTAGGCGCTGGAACGATGCCCCTGCAAACTCCATTGACGGTGTCCCCCTTCCAGACGCCGATTCCACAGCCATCACCTTTCCAGCCACAGGTGGTCAGTGTTGTGGGCCGCATTAACTTGACCGGTGCACTCAATACCGCCGGTCCATCACGCCCCCTCGGAGTGCACGTCAGCCACAAAGCACTCCTGAAGGTCATTGCATCTCTGTGGAAAGCGATGATGATGAGTGGGACATTCTCAGAGCCCACAAGAAGAAGAAGGAAAAGGCCCTCAAACTAGCAACTCCCCGTGACTCCGCCTTCGAAAGGTTGGGGGAAAGGGAGGATGGTCAGAGGAAATCAGCCAAGCCGAGGCTGGGCAAGAGCGTTGCCCATGTAAGCGCTTTTGCCCGGCTAGGAAAGGGGAAGGAGGCCGAGCCTGCCCGTACCCAACGCTCTCGGTTAAACCGGCAAGCACCTGCGAAATCAAGGGTTTCGCGTCAACAGGAGGAAGCTAAGAGCAAGCCCCGCGAGCCAGTAAGGAACCGCCTGACTATCCCAGGAGATCGCGTCCAGCAGATGGAGGCGAAGCTAGAAAGGTTGGAAAAGAAAGTGGGAGAGAAGAAGGAGCGGGAAAGACCCATTGTCAGTTCCCCGTTCACCGCAAGGGTACATTTGACACCTTTCCCGCGAAAGGTCAAGGTGGATGCACCAAGGTTCACTGGGAAGGAGGATCTCGAGATTCACTTGGCTCCTTCAATCAAAGTGCAACCATGAATGGGTGCACAGATGAAGAAAAGAGACTTCTTTTCTTCCAAACCTTGCAAAACCGAGCCACTGAATGGTTCAATAAGCTTCGCCCAGGAAGCATTGACTCATTCACTGAGTTGGCCACGAAATTCAAGGCCAAATTCCAGGAGAAATGTACTAAGAGGAAGAAGTTCCCTACCTTAGTACTGCCAGTCAAAGGGAATCTGAGAACCTCACTCAATTCCTTACCCGGTGGAAAGAAGAGGTGGACAAAGTTGAAGAGATGGATGACAAGACAGTCTTGTCACTCCTGCTGAATGGCTTACGCGCTGGTGAATTATATAAAGAGTTCTACCGTAAACCAACGACCACGTATCAAGAGGGCTACCATACAGCATGGAATTTTGCGGAGGCTGAGACCCAGCTCCGGGCAAAGAAAGAAGCTGAGCATGGATTCAAGCCCAAGACGGTGCAAATAAAAAAAGAAGATGCACCAAGACCCAGTAGGCCAAGACATCACTACGACCCAGTCATCTGTGTGGTAAATAAGGAAGAGTGCCAAGAAGTAAGAAAAGCACCGGTCATTCCTCCGGTCAACCCTACTGGTAACCCGGGACGTCAGTGGTCGGATAGGTATTGTTCGTACCATAGATCTGATTCCCATAACACTTCAGAATGCAAAAGTGTTAAAGTAAATGTCTGGAAAATGACAGACAGTGGAGAACTTGGCAAGGAGTATTTTCAAATGGCCTAGGAAAAGAATCACCAATGACCGGGAGCACAAGGAAATTAGGCCGGCAGCACAAGGAAATGACCAGGACGAGGAAATGATCAGGAGCACAAGGAAATGATTGAGAGACAGTGGAGATCAGGCCAGCAGCACAACGAAATGACAGGGACAATGACCTGCGGAGGAATGACCGGTAGAGAGAGCAGAGGTCGGCTCTTGACAAAGAGCACATTGGAATGATCTTCGGCGGACCGGAAGGTGGGGGCGTAGCCGTGCAACGGAAGAACTGGGTCCGCAGCATCTATATAGGATAGGTTAGTGCGGACCTGGTCAGGCGCAAACAGACAAGGAGGGAACCGATTGCGTTCACTGACCGAGATCTTTCAGCTACCGGTGATGATCATAACGATCCTTTGGTCATCACCATGGACATTAACGGGGTGGATGTCACCCGGGTACTAGTTGACACCGGCAGCAGTGTCAACATTCTTTACCTGGAGAAAAGGTACTTGGCAAGTGACCATCGAGATTTTGTCAGGAAGGAGGTGAAGGATCTCCTCAGCGTGAGTCACATTCGGGAAGTGAAAAATCCCGATTGGTTGCCCAACGTGGTCCTTTATCCCAAAGGCCATACTTGGAGGATGTGTGTGGATTACACGGACTTAAACAAGGCTTGTCCAATGGATTCATACCCCTTTCTCAGTCCTGATCAAATGGTGGATGAAACTGCAGGGTGCGAACTCCTAAGTTTCATGGATGCCTTCAAAGGCTACCACCAAATTTACATGGCCAAGGAAGATGAGGAGAAGACGTCATTCCTCACACCCGAAGGTACCTACTGTTACTAGGTAATGACGTTCGGCTTGAAGAATTCAGGAGCCACTTACCAGCGCATGGTAAACAAACTCTTCAAGCCACTTCCAGGAAAGACCATGGAGGCTCACGTCGACGACATGCTAATCAAAAGCCAGGTATCTCTTAACCACCCGGCTGATATGCGCAAGTCCTTCGAGATAATGGAAAGGCACAACCTATGGTTGAATCCCAATAAGTGCATCTTCGTAGTTCGTACCGGGAAGTTCTTGGGATTCATGGTGACCAGAAGAGGAATATAGCCCAACCTAGAGAAAATTCGGGCCATCACAGAGATGCAAGCCCCTACCTCAGTTAGGGACGTGCAAAAGCTGACCGGTCGTCTGGTGGCTCTCAGCCGGTTTCTTTCCCGATCAGCTGAGAGATCCCTGCCCTTCTTCAAAGTCCTGAAGAAGGCCAATGCTTTCACTTGGGACGAGGATTGTCAAAAGGCATTGGAAGAGCTAAAGGAATATCTAGTATCAGATATTGTACTATCAAAACCCGAACTGGGTGAAACTCTATATCTGTACCTAGGAACTTCCCCAAATGTTGTAAGCTTCGTTTTAATAAGAAATGATGGGGCACAAAAGCCCATTTATTATGTGAGCAAGGCACTAAACGGGGCGGAAAGCAGGTATACGGTGATTGAAAAGACAGCATACGCGCTTTTCATTTCCGCCAAGAAGTTAACTTCATATTTTAAAAGCTCACCCAGTTGAGGTCTTGACCGACCAACCCTTGGGTGTAGTGTTGCGAAATTCAACATCCTCTGGGAGGATGGTGAAATGGGCAATGATGTTAACTCAATTTAACATTGAGTACCGGCCAAGATCAGCAATCAAGGGACTAGCCCTAGCAGATTTCCGGGTGGAAATGACCGGCCTAACTCCAGACTTACCGGTCAACCTACCTACCAAAAATGGTGGGAGATGGCCGTGGATGGGGCCTCTGGTCCTAAAGGATATGGAGGCGGCATAGTGTTTACCACTCCAGAAGGATTCAAAATCTACCATGCACTCGTCTTTAACTTCAAGTTGACGAATAATGAAACAGAATATGAAGCTCTTGCCGGAGGACTTCGACTTGCCCAAGCCCTTAAAATCAACCGGGTTAGTATCAAATCTGACTCTAGTCTGATTGTTGGGCAAGTGACTGGTAATATGGAAGCAAGAGAAGGACGGATGGCACAATGCAAGGATCTGGTGCTGGCCTTATTGAAAGGGTTTGTGGAATTCAAAATAGCACAAATCCCTCGCACTAAGAACGCAGATGCATACCTTCTTTCAAAGTTGATGCAGTCTACCCTGGAGCACGTTTCAAAACTTGCCTAGGTGGAAATTCTGGATCGGCCAAGCATCAAGAAACTAGAAGTCTCATCAATTGAAGTGGCAAGACAACCTGACCGGTCTACCTCAGCCATGGTTGGGGCGGATAATTATTGGATGGCCGATCTCTTGAGGTACTTGACAGACTGAAGCCTACTCGAATAAGAGGACCGGGTGCGAAAAGTAAAGCTCAGGGCACCCCGGTTTCAGGTCATCAACGACATGTTGTACAAAAGGGATTTCGGAGGACCACTCCTGAGGTGTCTAACCAACTGGGAGGCCAAAAGAGTCATCACGGAGGTCCAAGAAGGGGTGTGCGCAGCAAATCAAATGTCCCACACTCTATCCTATCGCATCATCTTGTTGGGGTATTACTGGCCAACAATCGTCCAGGATTGTGAGAGGCACGTTCAGAAATGCCGAATGTGCCAAGTATTCTATAAGAACCTGGGTAGACCGGCAACCTACTATCACCCCGTATCGAATGGCATACCATTTGCTAGATTCGGGGTTGATATCATTGAAGCGTTCCCAATAGCACAGGGAAGGAAGAAGTTTGTGATCGTGGCCATCGATTACTTTACCAAATGGATTGAAGCTGAAGCATTGGCCAATATCACCACGCAACAATGCAAAAAATTCATTTGGAAAAATATCATCACGAGATTTTGGGCCCCCATGAATCTTGTAACTGATAATGGCCTGAAATTTCAAAATCCAAAGTTCACTGAGTACATGGAGGGCTTCGGGATTAAGCATAACCGCTCTTCAATAGCGTACCCCAAGGAAACGGCCAGGTGGAAAATGCCAACAGAACGATCGTGGATGGTTTGAAGAAACGGTTGGGAGAGGCAGGAAATAAATGGCTAGAAGAACTTCCACACATCATATGGGCATATCGAGTAACACCCAGGAGGGCTCATGGAGAAACTCCGTGTTCCCTAACTTACAGGTGTGAAGCGAGATTGTCAATTGAAGCTGAATTCCCAACATTAAGGGAAGCAAACTACCAACCCCAACAGAACAAAGAAGACCATTTGGCCGAACTCAACTTGGTCGAAGAACGAAGGATGGCTGCGGAAGTGAAGATGAGCACATACCAACAAGTTCTAAAGAAATACCACGACAACAAGGTTGGACCACGTTAATTCCAAGTTGGTGATGAGGTCCAACGAAGAAGGGAAGCCAGTAAGCCGGGTGACGGAGTAAAGCTAGCAAACAATTGGGAAGGCCCATACCGGGTGAGTTCCATAATTTGCCCGGGAATGTACTCGTTAGAAACATTGGAGGAGCAACCAATAGAAAGATCTTGGAATTCCCACCATTTAAGAAAATTCTACAAATAATTTGTAATACTATGCAAGGCCTATTTCTGTTATCAAGCAACCGAATTGATGAAATTCAATACTCTACCCGGTAGTGGAAGGAATGATAGGTCGAACCTATCTAAGGAGGGCTTCCCGGGTGGATCAAATCCACTCGGAAAAGCCAACTAAGACACAGGCCCGGACCTGGCACGCTGGTTACTACACTGGTCTTGCTCAGTATAATAAAAAAATATAAACCTGGAAGAGGGGCCCTGGATAAGGGGTATGCCTGCAAGAAGGCTGGACCTCGAAGAGGGTTCGAACCGTACTTACACGGGCTCATGAGGTTTGACCGGTATTGGGGAGTCAGCCGAGACCATCAAACTAGTTGGGAACTAAAAGAAGCCCATTAAAAGAAATAGAAATCAAAGGGCCATTAAAAGACTTAGAGAGGGTTCGAAACCATTCAACATGGTTAAATCTCTAGAATTCTTACTGGTTAAGAATACTTCAAGAAATTACTAGGTTACAGGTGCATCCACCTACAACCTACTGGTTAAACAAAAAAAGGGAATACCCCGGTTAGGTATTAATACCTAAGAACTTCGAATGTTCTTCAAGGCGATTCAGTCAACCGGTTAGATCGTGAAGAACAGAACTACCAGTTAACTCAAGTTGATCATCAGAAAATATTCAAAGCAAAAGTTGAAGTTCTATTGGCAGATGCTAATCAGATTTAAGTGGAAGATAAAATTCAAAGAGGCGATTGAGTATGATACCGGTCAAAGTCTTAATGAAGACATCCTATAGAAAGAAGAGCAGAAGATCAAGCAAGAGTACTTAAA